ATTAGATAAATAGTTCTTTCACTAATTCTATTATTTACTCACTTTTTTTATATTAATGATGAGGGTGCTCTCAAATCAATTTTTTTCCAAAATTTAAAACTAAATCTCTTTTCAAATAATTCTAAAAATACATCCTTACATTAATTTGATTCCTTCAAAAAAATTAATTTTTCCTTTGATGCTAACCCTAAGATTTAATCTTAATGGATCCAAGCAATAAGGTTATTATTAACTTTTATTATCTCAAAATATTTTTTTAATTTTTCCAAATTAAAAATTTGAATACAATTTATATGTTTACTCGTTTTGTACTTAAAACAAAAAAAGAATAAGGAGAATTTTTTGTGATATGATAAATAAAAAAAATAAAAAAATAAGGATAAAGTTAAAGAAAAAAATATTTGTCTATTTTAAAATTTAAAAAACTATAATTATTTTAAAATAAAAAATGATAGTAGTTATTTTGATACAAAAATATTATTTTTTAAGTTTTATTTTCCAACTTATCGTTAAAATCATTAACCTATTCTTATCTTTGTTTTGGTGCAAAACACACGAAAACGTAAATTACTTTAAAAGACCTAAGAGTGGTAATTTTATTGATAAGGAGGTTTATTACTTACTTGTTAATCAAAGTTTCTATCTATTTTGTTAATTAAAGTTTAATTTTTTAAAGAGATTAATAAAAAATAATTTTTTTATAATTTTTTAATTATAATATAAATAATTTATTTTTAATTAAATTTTTTTTAAAAAAATAATTTTAATGTACGCGTAACATATTTGAGGACACGTAACGCTAAAAAGAATTACTTTAAAAGGTTTTAATCTGTAAATAAATAAATAAATAAAGGTGAAAATAGCATTGCAATGAAGCGTAAAGGCACGTAAACTAGTGGGGCGCGTAAAATAGCTTTAGTTCTAACCGGATATGCTGTCCCTTTCAATGAATTGGCGCAACAGACGCGGGACAGGGACACGTCTCACGTGCAAAGTGCACACCATTCCTCCCACGCCATTGGAGGAGGCTACCCACGCGATACTGTTGCGCGTGCTCTTAAATCCTCGGCAACTAGCAAGCATATATTCTGCATTAAAAAAAAATAATGATAGGGATAAAAAAATTAAAAATATGATATTTAAAAATATTTATTTATAAATTAATTTTAATTTGTTTAAAATTTTTTTTTAATATGTATCTTTAAAGTACAGTTTTATAATTTTAAGAAAATAAAAACTAATATTTAACTTATTAATTATTTAATTAAATTGATTTACGTGGTATAAATTCTAAAATTAATATTTACTTTTATATTTTTTTGTATAAATTTATTAAAAAAAATCATTAACTTGTTTCTTAAAGATACAAAACAAAAAAATTGTTATTTAAAAAATAAATATTACTTATTTTACAAAATATTAATTATTTTTAATAATTAAATTAAAATAAAAATTAAACAGTTATTAATAGCATTAGCCAAAAAATTAACGTTGGCATAACCATAGCCATAGGAGGATTTGCATGGCGTACAAGTGGCATGCGTAAGAAGAGAGTAGCCAAAGAGGATACTCGAGGAATCATGTTATTGATAATTATTCCATCGTTTTCACAATGCGGTTAAGTCAGGTGTGCGAAACGGATGAAATGAAGCCACCGAGGATAACCAGATAAGACGAAAACCATTTTTTAACTTTTTCTGCAAAGAGAGAAGTTATGCTTACACACGTAAGTATTAAATAAAATTATTTTACTTTTATTTT